TCCTACAGACCCCAATAATGGGGTTTTCCCCCCCCAATGGACCCCCCAATAGACTCCAATAATGGGGGTTCCCCCCCTCCATAGTCCCCACTAACGGGGCTCCCCACCCCATAGACCCCAATAATGGGGTTCCCCCCTCCATCCCTTCACCCCATAGACCCCAATAATGGGGTTCCCCCCTCCATAGACCCCACTAACGGGGCTCCCCACCCCATAGACCCCAATAATGGGGTTCCCCCCTCCATCCCTTCACCCCATAGACCCCAATAATGGGGTTCCCCCCTCCATCCCTTCACCCCATAGACCCCAATAATGGGGTTCCCCCCTCCATAGACCCCACTAACGGGGCTCCCCACCCCATAGACCCCAATAATGGGGTTCCCCCCTCCATCCCTTCACCCCATAGACCCCAATAATGGGGTTCCCCCCCTCCATCCCTTCACCCCATAGACCCTAATAATGGGGTTACCACCCCATAGACCCCAAAGGAACCCCCTATAGACCCCAATAATGGGGTTTCCCCCCAATGGACCCCCCAATAGACTCCAATAATGGGGTTCCCCCCCTCCATAGACCCCACTAACGGGGCTCCCCACCCCATAGACCCCACTAATGGGGTTCCCCCCCCCATAGACCCCACTAACGGGGTTCTCCCCCCATAGCCCCACCTGTCCCTGTGCTGGTTGCGGGGCCGCAGCTCCTGCAGCAGGGTTTCGGGGTTCACCTTCAGGGTCTTGGCCGTGACCCCCCCAAAATCCTCGGCCTGGAGCTGCTCCAAAGCGTGGCCACAGGGACCTGGGGGGGGGGGGGGAAGAGATTGGGGGACCCCAAAACCCCCCCCCCCATAAGGGCCAATGGAGCCCAAAGGGGATCTAAACCCCCCGCTTCTAGGACACATGGTACAGCCCAAACCCCGCCATAGGGCTCAATGGGACCCATAAGCCCCCCCTTCAAGTCCCCCCATAGGGCCCCTCGTGGGGCTCAATGCGACCCCTAAGTTCCCCCCATAGGAGCCCTCCATAGGGCTCAATGGGACCCCCAATAATGGAGCCGTGGGGTCAAGGGGGATCTAAACCCCCCCATAGAGCACCCCCCCCATAGAACACAATGGACTCCCCCAACCCCCTATAGGGCCCCCAACCCCCCCATAGGACACAATGGACCCCCCCAACCCCCCCATAGGACACAATGGGCCCCCCCAACCGCCCCATAGGACACAATGGACCCCCCCATAGGACACAATGGACCCCCCCAACCCCCCCATAGGGCACAATGGACCCCCCCAACCGCCCCATAGGGCACAATGGACCCCCCCATAGGACACAATGGACCCCCCAACCACCCCATAGGACACAATGGACCCCCCCATAGGGCACAATGGGACACCCCAACCCCCCATAGGGCACAATGGGATCCCCCAACCCCCCCATAGGGCACAATGGACCCCCCCAACCCCCCCATAGGGCACAATGGACCCCCCCAACCGCCCCATAGGGCACAATGGACCCCCCCATAGGACACAATGGACCCCCCAACCACCCCATAGGACACAATGGACCCCCCCATAGGGCACAATGGGACACCCCAACCCCCCCATAGGGCACAATGGGACCCCCCAACCCCCCCATAGGGCACAATGGACCCCCCCAACCCCCCCATAGGGCACAATGGACCCCCCCATAGGGCACAATGGACCCCCCATAGGGCACAATGGGACCCCCCCATAGGGCACAATGGACCCCCCATAGGGCACAATGGGCCCCCCCGGGCCGTACCATCGGGCACGAAGAGGCGGGTGAGCAGCAGCTCCTCGGGGAGGGGGGCATCAGGGGGCAGGGGGGGCTCCCCCCCCCCCTCGGGGGCTTCTCCGTGAGCACCAAGGTGGTGAAAACACGGCCTGAGGGGCTCTGGGTGACCTGGGGGGCAATGGGGGGCAATGGGGTAAGGGGGGGAATGGGGTAATGGGGGGCAATGGGGTAAGGGGGGGAATGGGGGGCAATGGGGGAAATGGGGGGCAATGGGGGTAAGGGGGGGAATGGGGGGCAATGGGGGGCAAAGGGGGAATGGGGCAATGGGGGGAATGGGGGGCAATGGGGTAATGGGACAATGGGGGGAATGGGGGGCAATGGGGGAATGGGGGGAATGGGGGGCAATGGGGTAATGGGGGGCAATGGGGGGCAATGGGGGAATGGGGGGAATGGGGGGCAATGGGGTAATGGGGGGCAATGGGGGGCAATGGGGGAATGGGGGGAATGGGGGGCAATGGGGGAATGGGGGTCAATGGGGTAATGGGGGAAATGGGTGGTAAGGGGGGTAATGGGGGCAATGGGGAAATGGGGGGCAATGGGGGAATGGGGGGGGAATGGGGGGCAATGGGGGGTAAGGAGGGAATGGGGGCAATGGGGAAATGGGGCAATGGGGGGAATGGAGGAATGGGGGGGAATGGGGGGAATGGTGGAATGGGGGCAAGGGGGGCAAGGGGGGGAATGGGGTTCAAGGGGTAATGGGGCAATGGGGGGCAACGGGGCAATGGGGGGCAATGGGGGGATGGGGTCAATGGGGTAATGGGGGGTTGGGTGATTTTGGGGCGTTTCTGTTTTTTTGTGTGTGTTTTGGGAGATTTTGGGGTGTTTTGGGGGATTTTTGGGTGGTTTTGGGGTGTTTCGGGGTGATTTGGGGCTGTTTTGGGGGTGTTTTGGGTGATTTTGGTGTGTTTTTGGGGTGTTTTGGGTGATTTTGGGGTGTTTTGGGGTGATTTTGGGCTGTTTTTGAGGTGTTTTGGGTGATTTTGGGGTGTTTTTGGGGTGTTTTGGGTGATTTTGGGGTGTTTTGGGGTGATTTTGGGCTGTTTTTGAGGTGTTTTGGGTGATTTTGGTGTGTTTTGGGGGTGTTTTGGGTGATTTTGGGGTGTTTTTGGGGTGTTTTGGGTGATTTTGGTGTGTTTTTGGGGTGTTTTGGGTGATTTTGGTGTGGTTTTGGGGTGTTTTGGGTGATTTTGGTGTGTTTTTGGGGTGTTTTGGGTGATTTTGGTGTGTTTTTGGGGTGTTTTGGGTGATTTTGGGGTGTTTCAGGGTGATTTTGGGCTGTTTTTGAGGTGTTTTGGGTGATTTTGGTGTGTTTTGGGGGTGTTTTGGGTGATTTTGGGGTGTTTTTGGGGTGTTTTGGGTGATTTTGGTGTGTTTTTGGGGTGTTTTGGGTGATTTTGGTGTGGTTTTGGGGTGTTTTGGGTGATTTTGGTGTGTGTTTGGGGTGTTTTGGGTGATTTTGGTGTGTTTTTGAGGTGTTTTGGGTGATTTTGGGGTGTTTCAGGGTGATTTTGGGCTGTTTTTGAGGTGTTTTGGGTGATTTTGGTGTGTTTTGGGGGTGTTTTGGGTGATTTTGGGCTGTTTTTGAGGTGTTTTGGGTGATTTTGGTGTGTTTTTTGGGTGTTTTGGGTGATTTTGGTGTGTTTTTTGGGTGTTTTGGGTGATTTTGGGGTGTTTTGGGGTGATTTTGGTGTGTTTTTGGTGTGTTTTTGGGGTGTTTCGTGGCCCGGTACCTGCAGGATGAGCCCCATCGCGTTGCGGTGCCTCCGGGTGCTCACCACCAGCACCCGCCCGGGGCTCAGCACCCGCAGCCCGGCCACCGAGTCCGCCAAGCGCCGCTGCGGGGACCCCGCTCCGGTCACACCAGAGCCCCATAGAGACCCATAGAACCCATAGAGCCCCATAGAACCCCCATAGAGACCCATAGAACCCATAGAAACCCCATACAGCCCCATAGAGACACCACAGAACCCCATAGAGACCCCATAGAACCCCATAGAGCCCCATAGAGACACCATGGAACCCCACAGAGCCCCATAGAGCCCCATAGAGATCCCATACAGCCCCCATTGAACCCCCACAGAGCCCCATAGAGCCCCATGGAACCCCATTGGGCCCCATAGGGCCCCACAGAGGCCCCTAGAGACCCCTAGAGCCCCATAGCGCCCCATAGAGCCCCATAGAGCCCCACAGAACCCCATAGAGCCCCATAGCACCCCATAGAACTCATAGAGCCCCACAGAACCCCACAGCGCCCCACAGAGCCCCAAAGAACCCCACAGAGCCCCACAGCGCCCCATAGAACCCCCATAGAGCCCCATAGCACCCCATAGAGCTCCATAGAGCCCCACAGAGCCCCAGAGCGCCCCATAGAGCCCCCATAGAGCTCCATAAATACCCCATAGAGCCCCATAGAGCTCCATAAAGTCCTCCCCGGCCCTCTCGCCCACCCCACTTCCGGTCCCGCCCTCACCATGAGCTCCTTCCGGTCCCTCCGCAACGCCCCCACGGCGTCGTGGTAGCGTTCGACGTCACTTCCGGGGCGGGGCTCCGGCTGCGCAGAGAGCTCCCCCTGCAGCTCAGTCACGCGGCGAGCCTGAGCCTGAGGTCACGTGGGGTCACTTGGGGGGGGCAATGGGGGGCAATGGGGTTCAATGGGGCAATGGGGCAATGGGGGGCAATGGGTGTCAATGGGGCTCAATGGGGTTCAGTGGGGTTCAGTGGGGCTCAATGTGGTCTATAGGGCTCAATGGGTCTCAATGGGGTTCAGTGGGGCTCAGTGTGGTCTATAGGGCTCAATGGGTCTCAATGGGGTTCAGTGGGGCTCAATGTGGTCTATAGGGCTCAATGGGTCTCAATGGGGTTCAGTGGGGCTCAATGTGGTCTATAGGGCTCAATGGGTCTCAATGGGGTTCAGTGGGGCTCAATGTGGTCTATAGGGCTCAATGGGTCTCAATGGGGTTCAGTGGGGCTCAATGTGGTCTATAGGGCTCAATGGGGTTCAGTGGGGTTCAGTGGGGCTCAATGTGGTCTATAGGGCTCAATGGGTCTCAATGGGGTTCAGTGGGGCTCAGTGTGGTCTATAGGGCTCAATGGGGCTCAATGGGGTTCAGTGGGGCTCAATGTGGTCTATAGGGCTCAATGGGTCTCAATGGGGTTCAGTGGGGCTCAATGTGGTCTATAGGGCTCAATGGGTCTCAATGGGGTTCAGTGGGGCTCAATGTGGTCTATAGGGCTCAATGGGTCTCAATGGGGTTCAGTGGGGCTCAATGTGGTCTATAGAGCTCAATGGGGCTCAATGGGGTCAATGGGGCTCTATGGGTCTCTATGGGTCTCAATGGGGTTCAATGGGTCTCAAGGATGTCAATGGGTCTCAATGGGTCTCAATGGTGTCAATGGGTCTCAATGGGTCTCAGTGGGGTTCAGTGGGTCTCAAGGATGTCAATGGGTGTCAATGGGTGTCAATGGGTCTCAATGGGGCTCAATGGGGCTCAATCGGTCTCAATGGTGTCAATGGGTCTCAATGGGGTCTATGGGTCTCCATGGGGCTCAATGGGTCTCAATGGGGTTCAGTGGGTCTCGATGGGTCTCAATGGTGTCAATGGGTGTCAATGGGTGTCAATGGGGTTCAATGGTGTCAATGGGTCTCGATGGGTCTCAATGGTGTCAATGGGTGTCAATGGGTCTCAATGGGTCTCAATGGGTCTCAATGGGGTTCAGTGGTGTCAATGGGTCTCGATGGGTCTCAATGGTGTCAATGGGTGTCAATGGGTCTCAATGGTGTCAATGGGTCTCAATGGGGTTCAGTGGGTCTCAATGGGTCTCAATGGTGTCAATGGGTGTCAATGGGTGTCAATGGGTGTCAATGGGGTTCAATGGTGTCAATGGGTCTCGATGGGTCTCAATGGTGTCAATTGGTGTCAATGGGTCTCAATGGGTCTCAATGGGGTTCAATGGTGTCAATGGGTCTCAATGGTGTCAATGGGGCTCAATGGGTCTCTATGGGTCTCTATGGGTCTCTGTGGGTCTCTATGGGTCTCTATGGGGTTCAGTGGGTCTCTATGGGTCTCTGTGGGGTCTCTATGGGTCTCTATGGGTCTCCATGGGTCTCCATGGGGCCCACCCACCTCCTGCTCGCGGCGCAGCGGGAACTCAGCGTAGCTCCGGCGCAGCAGGTCCTGAACACGCAGCTCCTGCGCCCGCAGCACGTTCAGGATCATGGGGTAGGTGAGGCGGAACTGGGACTGCAGGCGTGTGGGGCGGCCCTGCCGGGAGGGGGACACGCTAAGGACACGCTAAGAACATGCTAAGAACATGCTGACACGCTAAGGACATGTCAAGGGGTAGGGGACGCGGAACTGGGACTGCAGGCGTGTGGGGCAGCCCTGCCGGGCGGGCAACACGCTAAGGACACGCTAAGGACATGTTAACGGGTAGGTGAGGCGGGACTGCAGGCGTGTGGGGCGGCCCTGCCGGGCCGGAGGACACGCTAAGGACACGCTAAGGACATGTTAACTGTACACTAAGGACACATTAAGGACACGTTAAAGACACATTAAGGACACGTTAACGATACACTAAGGACACGTTAAGGACACACTAAGGACACGTTAAGGACACACTAAGGACACACTAAGGACATGTCAAGCACACACTAAGGACAGGTTACGGACCCTCTAAGGACATGTTAAGGAAACAATAAAGACACACTAAGGACCCGCTAAAGAAACACCAAAGACACGCTAAGGACGCACTAAGGACATGACAAGGACACGCTAAGAACATGTTAAGGATACAATAAGGACACACTAAGGACACGTTAAGGACATGCTAAGGACACATTCAAGACACGCCAAGGAAACGCTAAGGACATGCTAGGGACATGGTAAGGACACACTAAGGGCACGCTAAGAACATGCTAAGGACACGTTCAGGACATGCTATGGACACATGAAGGACAAAGCACATGTTAAGTACACGCTAAGGACAGGTTAAGGATATGCCAAGGTCACGCTAAGCGCTCGCTAGGGACACGGTAAGGACATGCTAAGTACACGCCAAGGACACAGTCACGACACGTTAAGGACACACTAAAACATGCTAAGGACACGTTAAGGACTCATTAAAGACACACTAAGCACACGCTAAGGACATGTTACAGACATGTTAAAGACACACTAAGGACATGTTAAAGACACACTAAGCACACACTAAATACATGTTACAGACACATTAAAGACACGCTAAGGACATGCTAAGGACATGCCAAGGACACGCTAAGGACACGCTAAGGGGCTCACCAGCATCATGCGGTGCAGGTCGGGCAGGTCGGGCACGCTGCCCCGGCACAGGATGATCACGGTGCCCATGGCATCGAGCCCCCGGCGCCCGGCGCGCCCGGACATCTGAATGTACTCACCTGTGGGGCAGCCCCATAGAGACCCATCGAGACCCCACAGAGACCCAGAGAGACCCAGAGAGACCCCAGAGAGACCCCAGAGAGACCCCAGAGACCCATAGACAGACTCACAGAGACCCCATAGGAAGCCCATAAACACCCAGAGTGACCCCATAAAGACCCATAGAGACCCCATAGATTCCCACAGCAACCCATAACTACCCCATAATGATCCCACAGGACCCCATAGTGACCATAACTACCTTATAGAGCCCCATAGTGACCCATATCTACCCCATAGTGACACCATAGAACCCCACAGCACCCCATAACTAGCCTGTAGTGACCCATAGCGCCCCATAACTACCCCATAGTGAACCACAGAGCCCCAGAGCGCCCCATAACTACCCCATAGTGACCCATAGAGACCCATAGAGACCCACAGAGAGCCCATAGAGCCCCATAGAGGCCCCATAGAGCCCCATAGAGCCCCATAGAGGCCCCATAGAGCCCCATAGAGCCCCATAGAGACCCCATAGAGACCCATAGAGCCCCATAGAGGCCCCACAGAGACCCCATAGAGCCCCATAGAGCCCCATAGAGGCCCCATAGAGACCCCATAGAGGCCCCATAGAGCCCCATAGAGGCCCCATAGGGCCCCATAGAGCCCCCCTTGCCCCCCACCTGGCAGCAGGTCCCGGAAGTTGTTCCCGTCGTGCTTGCGGATGGAGTCGAAGACGACCGTGCGGGCTGGCATGTTCAGCCCCATAGCGAAGGTCTCAGTGGCAAAGAGCACCTGGGGTGGGGCAGGACCCATAGAGACCCCTTAGAAACCCATAGAGAGCCATAGAGAGCCACAGAGACCCATAGAGAGCCATAGAGGCCATAGAGAGCCATAGAGATCACGGGTACCCATAGAGCCCCATAGAGCCCCATAGAGAGCCACAGAACCCCATAGACATCATAGAGACCCATAGAAACCCCATAGAGACCATAGAGCCCTATAGAGACCCATAGAGACCATAGAGCCCCACAGAGACCATAGAGACCCATAGAGACCATAAAGACCATAGAGCCCATAAAGACCCATAGAGACCATAGTGATGCATAGAGACCCATAGAGATCATAGAGACCCATAGAGCCCCGTAGAGCCCCACAGAGACCATAAAGACCCATAGAGCCCCACAGAGAGCCATAGAGCCCATAGTGATGCATAGAGACCCATAGAGATCATAGAGCCCCATAGAGCCCCGTAGAGCCCCATAGAGCCCCACAGAGACCATAAAGACCCATAGAGCCCCATAGAGAGCCATAGAGCCCCATAGAGCCCCATCGAGAGCCATAGAGCCCCATAGAGCCCCATAGAGAGCCATAGAGCCCCGTAGAGCCCCATAGAGCCCCATAGAGCCCCATAGAGCCCATAGAGCCCCATAGAGCCCCATAGAGAGCCATGCCTGCCCCACAGCTGCCCCACACGCACCTTGACCAGCCCTTGGCTGAAGAGCATCTCCACGACCTCCTTGAGCAGGGGCAGGACCCCCCCGTGGTGCACCCCAATGCCCCGCTGCAGCAGCTCCCCAATGGCCACCACCTGGGGGGACAGAGACCCATAGGGACCCATAGAGACCCATAGGGACCCATAGAGACCCATAGGGACCCCATAGAGACCCATAGAGACCCATAGAGACCCATAGAAACACCATAGGGACCCATAGAGGTGCATGGACCCCATAGAGACCCATAGAGTTGCATAGACCCCATAGAGACCCCATAGAGACTCATAGACCCCTACAGAGACCCCATAGAGCCCCATAGAGACCCCATAGATCCAATAGAGCGGCATAGAGACCCATAGCGACCCCATAAAGACCCCATAGAGACCCCTAGAGACCCCCTAGAGACTCCATGGAGACCCCATAGTGCCCCATAGAGTCCCACAGAGACCCCATAGAGACCCCATAGAGCCCCATAGAGACCCCATAGAGCCCTATAGAGACCCATAGAGACCCCATAGAGCCCATAGAGTCCATAGAGCCCCCATAGAGCTCCCATAGAGCCCCCATAGAGAGCCCATAGAGCCCCATAGAGACCCCACAGAGACCCCATAGCGCCCCATAGAGCCCCATAGAGACCCCATAGAGCCCCATAGACCCCCATAGAGACCCATAGAGCACATAGAGACCCAACAGAGACCCCATAGAGCCCATGGAGCACCACAGAGTCCCATAGAGACCCAATAGAGGCCCCATAGAGCCCCATAAAGCCCCCATAGAGACCCAACAGAGCCCCACAGAGAGCCCATAGAGCCCCATAGAGCCCCATAGATCCCCATAGAGACCCCATAGATCCCCATAGAGACCATAGAGCCCCCATAGAGCCCCCATAGAGACCCCATAGAGAGCCCATAGAGCCGCATAGGGCCCCATAGTAACCCCATAGATCCCCATAGAGACCCCATAGAGCCCCATAGTGTCCCATAGAGACCCCATAGAGACCCCATAGCGCCCCATAGAGCCCTACAGACCCCCCCGTTAGTGCCCCATAGAGACCCCATAGAGCCCCATAGCGCCCCATAGAGACCCATAGAGACCCCATAGAGCCCCACAGAGACCCCACAGATCCCCATAGAGCCCACAGAGCCCCCACAGAGACCCCATAGGGCCCCACAGCACCCCATAGAGCCCCATAGAGCCCCATAGAGACCCCATAGATCCCCATAGATCCCCATAGAGACCCCACAGAGCCCCACAGAGCCCCATAGCGCCCCATAGAGACCCCATAGAGACCCCACAGAGCCCCATAGCGCCCCATAGAGACCCCACAGAGCCCCACAGAGACCCCATAGATCCCCATAGAGCCCACAGAGCCCCCACAGAGACCCCATAGAGCCCCATAGCACCCCATAGAGCCCCATAGAGACCCCATAGATCCCCATAGCACCCCATAGAGCCCCATAGAGACCCCATATATCCCCATAGATCCCCATAGAGACCCAATATAGAGCCCCATAGCACCCCATAGAGCCCCATAGAGACCCCATAGATCCCCATAGAGACCCCACAGAGACCCCATAGATCCCCATAGAGCCCACAGAGCCCCCACAGAGACCCCATAGAGCCCCATAGCACCCCATAGAGCCCCATAGAGACCCCACAGAGCCCCATAGAGACCCCACAGAGCCCCATAGAGACCCATAGAGCCCCATAGAGACCCCACAGAGCCCCACAGAGACCCCATAGATCCCCATAGAGCCCACAGAGCCCCCACAGAGACCCCATAGCACCCCATAGAGCCCCATAGAGACCCCACAGAGCCCCATAGATCCCCATAGATCCCCATAGAGACCCCATAGAGACCCCACAGAGCCCCCATAGATCCCCATAGAACCCCCCCCAGCTCCCCACCTGGGGCAGGCGTCGGTCGGGGGCCTTGAGGCGGGCGAGGCAGCGCTGGAGGAAGAGGCGGCTCCGCTGGCGCTCGCCGGGGGTCAGGAGCTCCGTGGGGCCCAGGGCGGCGGCGTGGGCGTCGCAGCGCCCGCGCGAGAACGTGAAGGCCACCATGGGGAGCTGCCCCCGAGCCTGCAGCAGCCCCAGCAGCGCCTGCCACAGCCCCCGCTCCTGGGGGGCAGGGAGAAAGGGGGGGGTTAGGTCGCAGGGTCTGGAGAGGGCGCTATGGGGCGCTATGGGGTGCTATGGGGTGCTATGGGGCGCTATGGGGTGCTATGGGGTGCTATGGGGTGCTATGGGGCGCTATGGGGTGCTATGGGGTGCTATGGGGCGCTATGGGGTGCTATGGCGCTATGGGGCGCTATAAGGCACTATGGCGCTATGGGGGGAGAGGGGGGAAGGGGGGGTTAGTTCGCAGGGTCTGGAGGGGGCGCTATGGGGGGCTATGGGGCACTATGGGGCACTATGGGGTGCTATGGGGTGCTATGGGGTGCTATGGGGTGCTATGGGGCGCTATGGGGGGAGAGGGAGGAAGGGGGGGTTAGTTCGCAGGGTCTGGAGGGGGCGCTATGGGGGGCTATGGGGCACTATGGGGCACTATGGGGTGCTATGGGGTGCTATGGGGTGCTATGGGGCGCTATGGGGGGAGAGGGAGGAAGGGGGGGTTAGTTCGCAGGGTCTGGAGGGGGCGCTATGGGGTGCTATGGGGGGCTATGGGGCGCTATGGGGTGCTATGGCGCTATGGGGCGCTATGGGGCGCTATGGGGTGCTATGGGGCGCTATGGGGGGAGAGGGAGGAAGGGGGGGTTAGTTCGCAGGGTCTGGAGGGGGCGCTATGGGGCGCTATGGGGCACTATGGGGCGCTATGGGGCGCTATGGGGCTATGGGGTGCTATGGGGCGCTATGGGGCACTATGGGGTGCTATGGGGCGCTATGGGACTCTATGAGGCGCTATGGGGCGCTATGGGGCGCTATGGGGGGAGAGGGAGGAAGGGGGGTTAGGTCGCAGGGTCTGGAGGGGGCGCTATGGGGCACTATGGGGCGCTATGGGGCACTATGGGGTGCTATGGGGCGCTATGGGGCGCTATGGGGTGCTATGGGGCGCTATGGGGGGAGGGGGAGAAGGGGGGGGTTAGTCCGCAAGGTCTGGAGGGGGTGCTATGGGGCGCTATGGGGCGCTATGGGGTGAGGCGGAGGTGGGGGGGGAACCCCTTTAGACCTCCACTCCTTCAGGGGGCGCTATGGGGAGAGCCTCCCCCCACCTTTATACCCCCAGTCCTCTAGGGGGGTGCTATGGGGTGAGCCTGACCCATAGCGTGACCCACAGCGTGACCCACAAGTGCCCCCCCCCCCCCACGCCCCACAGACCTGTCCCGGGGTCATTGACGCCATCGTGGGGTGCTTGGCCCCAAAGTTCTGCCCCACTTTGCTGCTCTGCTGCTTCTTGGCCTCCACAGCGGCGTAGTAACTGTGGGGCAGGAGAGGGGGGTCGGTGGGGGGTCCAGGGGGGGTCTATGGGGCTGGGGATAGGGGGTCTATGGGGGGTCTATGGGGTGCCTATGGGGGGGTCAATGGGGTGTCCATGGGGTGTCTATGGGGCTGGGGATAAGGTGTCTATGGGGGGTCTATGGGGTGTCTATGGGGGAGTCAATGGGGTGTCCATGGAGTGTCTATGGGGCTGGGGATAGGGTGTCTATGGGGGGTCTATGGGGGGGTCAATGGGGTGTCCATGGAGTGTCTATGGGGCTGGGGATAGGGTGTCTATGGGGGGTCTATGGGGGGGTCAATGGGGTGTCCATGGAGTGTCTATGGGGCTGGGGATAGGGTGTCTATGGGGGGTCTATGGGGGGGTCAATGGGGTGTCCATGGAGTGTCTATGGGGCTGGGGATAGGGAGTCTATGGGTGTCCATGGGGTGTCCAGGAGTGTCTATGGGGCTGGTGAAAGGGTGCCTATGGGGCTGGGGATAGGGTGTCTATGGGGGGTCTATGGGGTGTCTATGGGGGAGTCAATGGGGTGTCCATGGAGTGTCTATGGGGCTGGGGATAGGGTGTCTATGGGGTGTCTATGGGGGAGTCAATGGGGTGTCCATGGAGTGTCTATGGGGCTGGGGATAGGGTGTCTATGGGGGGTCTATGGGGTGTTTATGGGGGGGTCTATGGGGGGGGCAATGGGGTGTCCATGGGGTGTCTATGGGGCTGGGGATAGGGTGTCTATGGGGGGTCTATGGGGGGGTCAATGGGGTGTCCATGGGGTGTCCATGGGGTGTCTATGGGGCTGGGGATAGGGTGTCTATGGGGGGTCTATGGTGGGGTCTATGGGGTGTCCATGGGGTGTCTATGGGGCTGGGGATAGGGTGTCTATGGGGGGTCTATGGGGTGTCTATGGGGGTGTCCATGGGGTCTCTATAGGGTGTCTATGGGGTGTCCATGGGGTCTCTATAGGGTGTCTATGGGGTGTCCATGGGGTCTCTATAGGGTGTCTATGGGGGGGGTCTATGGAGTGTCCACGGGGTCTCTCTCTATGGTCAGTGGGCCTCAATGGGTGTCAATGGGGCTCCATGGGTCTCAATGGGTCTCTCTCTATGGTCTCTATGGGTCTCTATGGTTCACTACGGGTCTCTATGGGTCTCTATGGGTCTCTACGGGGTCTCTATGGTCTCTATGGGTGCCTATGGGTCCCTATGGGACTCTATGGGTCTCTATAGTCACAATGGGTCTGTATGGGTCTGTATGGGTCTCTATGGGTCTCTACGGGGTCTCTATGGTCTCTATGGGTGCCTATGGGTCTCTATGGGTCTCTATAGTCTCTATGGGTCTCTATGGGTCCCTATGTGTTCCTATGGATCCCTATGTTCCCTATGGCTCCCTATGGGTCCCTATGGCTCCCTATGTGTCCCTATGTGTCCCTATGGGTCTCTATGGGTCTCTATGTGTCCCTATGGATCTCTATGGGTCCCTATGTATCCCTATGGCTCCCTATGTGTCCCTATGGGTCTCTATGGCTCTCTATGTGTCCCTATGGGTCCCTATGGGTCCCTATGGGTCCCTATGGGTCTCTATGGCTCTCTATGTATCCCTATGTGTCCCTATGGATCTCTATGGGTCCCTATGGCTCCCTATGTGTCCCTATGGGTCTCTATGGGTCCCATGGGTCCCCCGGGTCCCCCCGTGCTCACCCCTGTGTGTTGAGGGCCCCGTGTGCATCCAGCAGCAGGAAGAGCTGCTCGCGGCTGCGGGGCCCCTGCCCCGTGTACAGGAAGTGCTGGAGCGGCACCGGGCGGCGCTGGGTGCTCAGCACCCGCAGGCACCGCCGCTTCGTGCGGCTTTGGGGGGGGACACGGGGGGAGGACACCCGAATAGACACAAATCAGAGCAAAATCGGACAAAAACAACCCAAAATCGGAACAAAACAGCCCAAAATACATCAAAATCGGGCCAAAATACCCCAAAATCGGACCAAAATATCCCAAAATACCCCAAAATCGGACAAAATACCCCAAATCGGAACAAAACAACCCAAAATACCCCAAAATCGCACCAAAACACCCCAAAATACATCAAAATCAGCCCAAAATACCCCAAAATCGGACCAAAACAACCCAAAATACATCAAAATCAGCACAAAATACCCCAAAATCGGACCAAAACAACCCAAAATACCCCAAAATCGGACAAAATACCCCCAAATCGGACCAAAATACCGCAAAATCGCACCAAAATACCGCAAAATCGGCCCCAAACAACCCAAAATACCGCAAAATCGGACCAAAATACACCCAAATCGGACCAAAATACCCCCAAATCGGACCAAAATACCCCAAAATACCCCCAAATCGGACCAAAATACCGCAAAATCGCACCAAAATACCCCAAAATCGGAACAAAATACCCCAAAATACCCCCAAATAGGACCAAAATACCGCAAAATCGCACCAAAAAACCGCAAAATCGCACAAAAATATCGCAAAATCGGCCCCAAACAACCCAAAATACCGCAAAATCGGACCAAAATACCCCAAAATCGCACCAAAACACCCCCAAATCGCACCAAAATACCGCAAAATCGGCCCCAAACAACCCAAAATACCGCAAAATCGGAACAAAATACCCCCAAATCGGACGAAAATACCCCAAAATCGGACCAAAACACCCCACAATACCCCCAAATCGCACCAAAATACCGCAAAATCGCACCAAAATACTGTAAAATCGACCCCAAACAACCCAAAATACCGCAAAATCGGACCAAAATACCCCAAAATCGGACCAAAATACCCCCAAATCGGACCAAAATACCCCCAAATCGCACCAAAATACCGCAAAATCGACCCCAAACAACCCAAAATACCGCAAAATCGCACCAAAACACCCCAAAATCGGACAAAAATACCCCAAAATACCGCAAAATCGCACCAAAATACCCCCAAATCGGACCAAAACACCCCAAAATCAGCACAAATACACCCAGAAACACCCCACTGCCCCACTGCCCCATTACCCCATTGCCCCCATTGCCCCCCATTGCCCCCATTGCCCCCCATTGCCCCCATTGACCCCCTTTGCCCCCATTGCCCCCCATTGCCCCATTGCCCCCCATTGCCCCATTACCCCATTGCCCCCATTGACCCCCTTTGCCCCCATTGCCCCCCATTGCCCCCTTTACCCCATTGCCCCATTGCCCCCCATTGCCCCATTGCCCCCCATTGCCCCCCATTGCCCCCCACTGCCCCACTGCCCCCTTACCCGACCCACTGAGCGAACTCCATGGCGTTGGGGATGGTGGCGCTGAGCAGGACGAGCTTCACGTGCTCGGGCAGCATGATGAGAACCTCCTCCCACACCACCCCGCGCTGTGGGGCAGACCCATAGAGACCCACGGAGACACATAGGGACCCATAGAGACCCCATGGAGACCCATAGAGACCCATAGAGACCCATGGAGACACATAGAGACCCATAGAGACCCCATGGAGACCCATAGAGACCCATAAAGACCCACGGAGACACATAGGGAGCCATGGAGACCCATGGAGACCCATAGAGACCCCATAGAAACCCATAGAGACCCATAGAGACCCCATGGAGACCCATAGGGACCCATGGAGACACATAGAGACCCCATGGAGACCCATAGGGACCCATGGAGACCCATAGAGACCCCATAGAGACCCATGGAAACCCACAGAGACCCATAGAGACCCAATAGAGATCCTATAGAGACCCCATAGAGACCCACGGAAATGCATACAGACCCACAGAGACCCCATAGAGACCCCATGGAGACCCCATAGAGACCCCATAGTGACCCATGGAGACCCCATAGTGACCCCAATAACCCCAATTGTGCCCCAAAGAAACCCCCAATAACCCCCATAGGGACCCCAATGAGATCCCCCCCAGCCCCATAGGACCCCCCTAACCCCACAGGACCCCCAATAACCCCCATAGGGACCCCAATAAGAACCCCCTCAACCCCATAGGACCCCCAGTAACCCCCATAGGGACCCCAGTAACCCCCATAGGGACCCCAATAACCCCCACAGGGACCCCCATAGGACCCCCTCCAGCCCCATAGGACCCCCAATAACCCCCATAGAGACCCCAATAACCCCCATAGGGACCCCATAGGACCCCCCCATAGCCCCATAGGCGCCCCATAGCGGCCCCCCCTCACCTCAGCATCATTGATGTAATGGACCTCGTCGAAGATGACCCATTCCAGGTCCCGGATCACATCGGAGCCGTTGTAGAGCATGGAGCTATGGGGCAGAAAGAGGGGGTTTGGGGGTATTTGGGGGTATTTTGGGGTATTTTGGGCTGTTTTGAGGTGTTTTGGGGTATTTGGTTGTTTTTGGGGGTATTTGGGGCCGTTTTGAGGTGTTTTGGGGGTATTTGGGGGTGTTTTGGGGGTATATTGAGGTATATTTGGGGTGTATTTGGGGCTGGTTTGGGTGTATTTGGGGCTCTCTTTGGGGGTATTTTGGGGTGGTCTTGGTGTAATTTCACATAGTTTGGGTGTATTTTGGGCTTTTGGGGTGTATTTTGGGCTTTTTGGGGTGTATTTTGCTCTGGTTTGGGTGTATTTTGGGGTGTTTTGGGTCATGAGCAGGCAGGAGGCCTCTGGGTGAGTTTTGGGGTGCTTTATGTGTATTTTGGGCCATTTTGGGTTATTTTGGGGTGTTTAGGGTGCATTTTGGAGAGTTTTTGATGCATTTTGGGGTGGTTTGGGTGTATTTTGTGCTGGTTTGGCTGTTTTGGGGATATTTTGGGCTGTTCTGTGGGCATTTTGGGGTGATTTGGGTGCATTTTGGGCTGTTTGGGGCTATTTCAGGGTGGGTTTGGTGCATTTTGGGCTGGTTTGGGTGCAGTTTATGCTGTTTGGGGTGTATTTTGGGTGGTTTGGGGTGTATTTTAAGTGGTTTGGGGTGTTCTGGGTATATTTTGGGGTGATTTGGGTGCATTTTGGGCTGTTTGGGGCTATTTTGGGGTGGTTTTGGTGCATTTTGGGCTGTTTTGGGTGCATTTTGGGGTGATTTGAGTGCATTTGGGGCTGTTTGGGGTTATTTGGGGCTATTTTGGGGTGGTTTTGGTGCATTTTGGGCTGTTTCAGGTGCATTTTGGGCTGTTTTGGGTGCATTTTGGCGTGTTTCAGGTGCATTTTGCGCTGTTTCGGGTGCATTTTGGGGTGCTTTGGGTGCATTTTGGGCTGTTTGGGGTGCATTTTGGGCTGTTTGGGGCTATTTTGGGGTGGTTTTGGTGCATTTTAGGCTGTTTCGGGTGCATTTTGGGCTGTTTCAGGTGCATTTTGGGCTGTTTCAGGTGCATTTTGGGCTGTTTCGGGTGCATTTTGGGCTGTTTTGGGTGCATTTTGGGCTGTTTCGGGTGCATTTTGGGGTGTTTCAGGTGCATTTTGGGCTGTTTCGGGTGCATTTTGGGCTGTTTCGGGTGCATTTTGGGCTGTTTGGGGCTATTTTGGGGTGGTTTTGGTGCATTTTGGGCTGTTTCAGGTGCATTTTCGGGTGATTTGGGTGCATTTTGGGCTGTTTCGGGTGCATTTTGGGCTGTTTGGGGCTATTTTGGGGTGGTTTTGGTGCATTTTGGGCTGTTTGGGGCTATTTTGGGGTGATTTGGGTGCATTTTGGGCTGTTTCGGGTGCATTTTGGGCTGTTTGGGGCTATTTTGGGGTGGTTTTGGTGCATTTTGGGTTGTTTGGGGCTATTTTGGGGTGGTTTTGGTGCATTTTGGGCTGTTTCGGGTGCATTTTGGGCTGTTTGGGGCTATTTTGGGGTGGTTTTGGTGCATTTTGGGCTGTTTCAGGTGCATTTCGGGGCGCTCACCGCAGGATCTCGGTGGTCATGACCAGGCAGGAGGCCTCGGGGTGCAGTTGGACGTCCCCCGTGAGCAGCCCCACAGATCCAAAGGTGCTCCGGAAATCCCGGAACTTCTGGTTGGAAAGAGCCTTGATGGGAGACGTGTAAATGGAGCTGGGGAGGGAAATGGGGGGCAATGGGGGTCAATAGGGGGAGGAAATGGGGGGGAAATAGGAGGGACCCCCACGACCCCATAAGGAGCTTATAGGAGAGTATTAAGAGCCATAAAAGACAACAGCGACGCCTTGTGGCCACATTGGGTATTGCAGGAAAGGGGGGGAGCTGCATTTTGGGGGTGTTTTGGGTCTTTTGGAGGCGATTTTTGGGGTGAAAAAGGTCGATTTTGGGTCCGGGGGTGTTTAGAGACCCCCAATGATGATTGGGGACCACAATGGGGGGGTCTGAGCACCCCAAAAAGGGGCTTTATGCGATGGGTTTAGCGCTCTTAATGGCACCACCATGACGCGACCTCTTGTGGCCACACTGGGTACTGCAGCGGCGCTAGGGCGGGGGGGAGCTGCATTTTGGGGGTGTTTTGGGTCTTTTGGAAGCGATTTTTGGGGTGAAAAAGGTCAATTTGGGGTCCAGGGGTGTTTAGAGACCCCCAATAATGATTGGGGACCCCAATGTGGGGTCTGAGCACCCCAAAATGGGGCTTTATGCGATGGGTTTGGCGCTCTTAATGGCACCACCATGGCGCGACCTCTTGTGGCCACACTGGGTACTGCAGCAGCGCTAGGGCGGGGGGGAGCTGCATTTTGGGGGTGTTTTGGGTCTTTTGGAAGCGATTTTTGGGGGTGAAAAAAGGTCAATTTTGGGTCCGGGGGTGTTTAGAGCCCCCCAATGATGATTGGGGACCACAATGGGGGGGTCTGAGCACCCCAAAATTGGGCTTTATGCGATGGGTTTAGCGCTCTTAATGGGACCACCATGGCGCGACCTCTTGTGGCCACATTGGGTACTGCAGCGGCGCTAGGGCAGGTTGGGAGCTGCAATTTGGGGGGTGTTTTGGGTCTTTTGGAAGCGATTTTTAGGGTGAAAAAGGTCAATTTTGGGTCCGGGAGTGTTTAGAGACCCCCAATGATGGTTTGGGACCCCAATGTGGGTCTGAGCACCCCAAAATGGGGCTTTATGCGATGGGTTTGGCGCTCTTAATGGGACCACCATGGCGCGACCTCTTGTGGCCACACTGGGTACTGCAGCAGCGCTAGGGCAGGGGGGCAGCTGCATTTTGGGGGTGTTTTGGGTCTTTTGGATGCGATTTTTGGGGTGAAAAAGGTCAATTTGGGGTCCGGGGGTGTTTAGAGCCCCCCAATGATGATTGGGGACCACAATGGGGGGGTCTGAGCACCCCCAAAATGGGGCTTTATGCGATGGGTTTAGCGCTCTTAATGGCACCACCATGGCGCGACCTCTTGTGGCCACACTGGGTACTGCAGCGGCGCTAGGGCGGGGGGAGCTGCATTTTGGGGGTGTTTTGGGTCTTTTGGAAGCGATTTTTGGGGTGAAAAAGGTCAATTTTGGGTCCGAGGTGTTTAGAGACCCCCAATGATGATTGGGGACCCCAATGTGGGGTCTGAGCACCCCAAAATGGGGCTTTATGCGATGGGTTTAGCGCTCTTAATGGCACCACCATGACGCGACCTCTTGTGGCCACACTGGGTACTGCAGCGGCGCTAGAACAACATAGCAAAGGTGGGGGGGGGGGGGGGGTGTTTTGGGTGTGTTTTGCGCTTTCCAGAGGCTCTTTTTGGGCGGAAAAAAGGCGTTTTTGGGTGCGGGGGGGTCTCACCGGGCCATGTGTCGCTGTGCCAGGGCAATGGCGTACTCGGCGATGGCCCGTTTTGCCCGCGGAAGTGTGCGCGGCCGCCCAGCAGGGATTGCCCCCGCTCCAGGCACAGCACGGCCTGCAGCTGGAAGGGGTCCGGCTTAAAGGGCCACTGAGGAGAGGGGTACAACGACAGACGACGGCGTTGGAACCTCGCCGAAGAAAGCATGAAGGGTCCTTTAAGGAACACCCAAACCCCCTAGGACCCCCCCAAACCCCTTTGGACCCCCCCAAACCCCCTTGGGACCCCCCCAAACCCCTTTAGCCCCCCATAAACCCATTTAGGACCCCCCCAAACCCCCTTAAGACCCCCCCAAACCCCTTTAGGACCCCCCCAAACCCCCTTTGGACCCCCCCAAACCCCCTTTAGCCCCCCCCAAACCCCCTTAGGACCCCCCCAAACCCCCTTTGGACCCCCCCAAACCCCCCTTAGGACCCCCCCAAAAACCTTCAGGACCCCTCCCAAACCCCTTAGGACCCCCCCAAACCCCTTTAGGACCCCCCAAACCCCCTTAGGACCCCCCCAAACCCTTTAGGACCCCCAAACCCTTCAGGACCCCCCCAAACCCCTTTTAGGAACCCCCAAACCCCCTTAGGACCCCCACAAACCCCTTTGCGTCCCCCCCCAAACCCCCTTAGGACCCCCCTAAATCCCCTTTTGCACCCCCCAAAACCCCTTAGGGCCCCCCCAAACCCCCTTGGGAACCCCCAAACCCCTTTAGAGCCCCCAAAACCCCTTTGGACCCCCCCAAACCCCCTTAGGACCCCCCCAAACCCCTTTAGCACCCCCAAACCCCTTAGGACCCCCCAAACCCCTTTGTGTCCCCCCAAACCCCCTTAGGACCCCCCCAAACCCCTTTGGACCCCCCAACCCCTTTAAGGACCCCCCAAACCCTTTAGGACCCCCCCAAACCCCTTTAGGACCCCCCCAAACCCCCTTAGGACCCCCCCAAACCCCTTTAGGACCGCCCCAAACCCCTTCAGGACCCCCCCCCAAACCCCTTTAGGACCCCCCCAAACCCCCTTTAGCCCCCCCCCAAACCCCTTTAGGACCCCCCCAAACCCCCTTTGGACCCCCCCAAACCCCCTTTAGCCCCCCCCAAACCCCTTTGGACCCCCCCAAACCCCCTTAGACCCCCCCAAACCCCTTCAGGACCCCCAAACCCCTTCAGGACCCCCCCAAACCCCTTAGGACCCCCCCAAACCCCTTTAGGACCCCCCCAACCCCCTTAGGACCCCCAAACCCCTTCAGGACCCCCCCAAACCCCTTTAGGAACCCCCAAACCCCCTTAGGACCCCCCAAACCCCTTAGGACCCCCCCAAACCCCTCTTGGAACCCCCCCAAACCCCTTTAGGACCCCCCCAAACCCCTTTGTGTCCCCCCCAAACCCCCTTAGGACCCCCCAAACCCCTTTGGACCCCCCAAACCCCTTCAGGACCCCCCCAAACCCCTTTAGGACCTCCCCAAACCCCCTTAGGACCCCCCCAAACCCCTTAGGACCCCCCCAAACCCCTTTGTGTCCCCCCCAAACCCCCTTAGGACCCCCCCAAACCCCTTTGGACCCCCCCAACCCCCTTTAAGGACCCCCCAAACCCCTTTAGGACCCCCCCAAACCCCCTTTAGCCCCCCCCAAACCCCCTTAGGACCCCCCCAAACCCCTTTAGGACCCCCCCAAACCCCCTTTAGCCCCCCCCAAACCCCTTCAGGACCCCCCCAAACCCCTTTAGGACCCCCCCAAACCCCCCCCTCACCTTAAAGGCCGGGTCAGGCACCAGGCTCTCGAAGTCCCCCATTGGCTCACTGGTGTCAATGGCCACAGCCCATTGGTCCTCGGGGGGGGCCGGGGGCGGGGCTTGGGCGGGCTCTCCCACTTCCTATGGGGAGGATGGGGGTCAATATAGGGCAGAACCCCCCCCACACACACACACACACCCCATTGATCCCTATGGGGCAGCACCTGATGCAGGAGCTCATCCACGCTGTCGCTATGGGGCAATGGGGGGCGGAGCCTCTTTGGGGTGTCCATGGCCCCCCCCAACTCCGGCTCCGGTTTGGGGGGACCCCCCCCCCCAATGTCTTCGTCGCCCCCCAAGTCGAAGGGGTCCAAGGTCTGGAGGAGGCTGCAGAGAGAAAGGGGGCCCCCCCCAGCCCCACTGCGGCCCCCAACTGGGGGGGGGGGGGGCAGCAAAAAGGGGGGGCTCAATGGGTGGGGAGCCCCATAGACCACCCCTAAAACCCCATAGGACACCCATAGGACCCATAGACCCCCATAGACCCCCCCTAAAGCCCCATAGGACACCCATAGGACCCATAGACCCCCATAGACCCCCCCTAAAGCCCCATAGGACACCCATAGGACCCATAGACCCCCATAGACCCCCCCCTAAAGCCCCATAGGATACCCATAGGCACCCACAGACCCCCCCTAAAACCCCATAGACCCCCATAAGAACCCCATAGAACCCCCTAAAGCCTCATAGGACACCCCTAAACCCCCCTAAAACCCCATAGGACACCCATAGACCCCCATAGACACCCCCTAAAGCCCCACAGGACACCCATAGGACCCATAGACCCCCGTAGACACCCCTAAAACCCCATAGGACACCCATAGACCCCCATAGACACCCCCTAAAGCCCCATAGGACACCCATAGGCACCCACAGACCCCCACAGAGCCCCATAAGTACCCCATAGACCTCCATAAAGCCCCATAGACAGCCATAGACCCCCCCAGCCCCCTATAGGACCCCCATAGACACACCCAGACCCCCATAAGACCCCCTTTGGACCCCCACAGACACCCACAGACATCCATAGACCCCCCTAAATCCCCATAAGACCCCCATAGACACCCCCAGACCCCCATAGGACCCCCCCTAAAGCCCCATAGGACCCCCATAGACACCCCCAGACCCCCATAGGACCCCCCCTAAAGCCCCATAGGACCCCCATAGACACCCCCAGACCCCAATAGGACCCCCCCTAAAGCCCCATAGACCCCCATAGACACCCCCAGACCCCCAAAGCCACCCCCAGACCCCATTGGACCCCCCCCAGACCCCCATAGGACCCCCCTAAAGCCCCATAGACCCCCATAGGACCCCCATAGACATCCCCAGACCCCCATAGGACCCCCCTAAAGCCCCATAGACCCCCATAGGACCCCCATAGACACCCCCAGGCCCCCAAAGCCACCCCCAGACCCCATTGGACCCCCCCCAGACCCCCATAGGACCCCCCCAGACCCCCAAAGCCACCCCCAGACCCCATTGGACCCCCCCAGACCCCCATAGGACCCCCCCAGACCCCCAAAGCTACCCCCAGACCCCATTGGACCCCCCCAGACACCCATAGGACCCCCCCAGACCCCCAAAGCCACCCCCAGACCCCATTGGACCCCCCCAGACCCCCATAGGACCCCCCCAGACCCCCAAAGCTACCCCCAGACCCCATTGGACCCCCCCAGCCCCCAAAGCCACCCCCAGACCCCATTGGACCCCCTGAGACCCCCATAGGACCCCCCCAGACCCACATAAGACCCCCATACGATGCCCCCCAAATAAGGGGTTACCCCCCCCATCATTTCCCTACCTGAAGCCTTGTACTCAACACCTCTCTTCAGCCCTGGGGGGGTCACCAATAGGTCTGGAGGGGGGCAAAAAGGGGTTTTAATGGGGGGGGGCACCCCAATATGTGCTTTAAAGGGGGGGGGGCCTAAAATGGAGGGGGACACCCCCAAAATGGGGGGGGTACCAGTGTCGAAGTCCACATCCTCCTCTTCATCACCATGGATACGGAGCTGCTCCAGGCTGGGCTCATCCAGCCCCGCTGGGGGGGGGCAAAAGGGGGTGGGGGGGGTCAAAAGGGGGGGATTGGGGGGGGGGGGGCAAAAGGGGGTGTTTAGGGGGGAAAAGAGGAGTTTTGGGGACCCCTGGGGGGGGAGGTTGGGGTCCATGGGGTCCCTGGGGGGGGGCTTTGGGGGGGGTCAAAGGGTGGGGGTTGGGGTGCTGGGGGGGCCTTATGGGGGGGGTCTTATGGGGAGTCCTATAGGGGGTCCATGGGGGGGTTATGGGGGTTTGGGGTCCATAGGGGGGGTTTGTGGGGGTCAAAGGGGGGGTTTGGGGGTGTTGGGAGGGTCCTATGGGGGGTGTCTTATGGGGGTAATATAAGGGGTCCATTGGGGGGTCAAAGGGGGGGTCAAACGGGGGGTTCCATGGGGGGGGTTTGGGAGGGTCCATGGGGGGGGGGGTCAAAGAAGGGGGGTTGGAGGGGTCCATGTGGGGGGTCCATGGGGGGATCAAAGAAGGGGGGCTAGGGGGGGTCCATGGGGGGGGGGTTTGGGGGGGTCCATGGGGGTCAAAGGGGGGGGTTTGGGGGGGTCCATGGAGGGGGTTCCATGGGAGGGTTTGGGGGGCGGGGGGGTCCATGTAGGGGTCAAAGGGGGGGGCTGGGAGGGTCCATGGGGTGGGGGTCCATGGGGGGGGGTTGGGTGGGTCTATGGGGGGGTCCATGGGGGGGGTTTAGGGGGTCCATGGTGGGTCAAAGTGGGGGGTTTGGGGGGGTCAAAGGGGGGGGGGGGTTTATTGGGGGGTCCATTGGGGGGGGGGGGGCCATAGGGGGGGTGCTGGGGGTACCTGGCCAGAAGGGGCAGGAGGTGGTGCTGCCCCACAGATTCTCTTGGGGGGGGCCGGGGGCGGCGCAGCGAGAGCGAGTTTTTGGCTGAGAGCCCCACATTGGGCAGCAGCTCCTGGGGGGGGGGGGGGACACACAAGGGACGGGGGGGGGTCAGGAACCAAAACCACCCCCCAAACAGCCCAAAATAGACCCAAAATTGCCCCAAAATCCCCCATAAGACCCCATAGAATCCCCCCAAACCCCCATAGGACCTCATAGAAGCCCATAAAAACCTCCATAAAACCCCATAACCCCCCCCCAAACCCCCATAGAAGCCCATAGAACCTCCATAAGACCCCATAGGACCCCCATAAGCCCCCACAGGACTGCCATAGGACCCCATGGAACCCCATAGTACCCCCCCCCCCAATCCACAATCCCCATAAAACCCCCATAGGACCCCATAGGACTCCATAGGAACCCAACAGGACCCCCATAGGACCCCATAGGACCCCCATAAGACCCCACAGAACACCCATAGAACCTCCCCAACCCCCCAATAGGACCCCATAGAACCCCCATAGGATGCTCCCCACCTCAACGAAGCCTCTCAAGGAGCCACTTTTGGGGTCCCTTTGGGCCCGGAGCCCCCCCATAACCGGGGTTGGCTCCAAGGCAAAGAGGTTCCGGGCTCCGGGTGCCGGAGCCATGACCTGGGGGGGGGGGGGAAATGGGGGGGTCAGGGGAGAAGAACCCCCCCCAATGGCCTTTAGAGCCCTACAGGACCCCTACAGGACCCCCATAGGCCCCCCCCATAGGCCCCCCATTGACCACAATAGGACACCCCCATAGGACCCCCACTGATCCCCATAGACCCCCCTCATAGACCCCCATTAGACTCCCCCATAGGACCCCCACAAGACCCCCACATAGGACCCCACAACACCCCCTATAGTCCCCATAGACCCCCATAAGACCCCCCCATAGGACCCTCCCATAGGAGCTCCATTGACCCCCACAGACCACCCATAGGACCCCCATAGATCTCCCCATAGGACCCCCATAGATCTTCCTATAGGACGCCCATAGACCACCCCATAGGACCCCCATTGACTCCCATAAGACCCCCCCCATAGGACCCCCCCATAGAACCCCCCATAGGAGCTCCACTGACCCCCCACAGACTCCCCATAGAACCCCCATACATCCCCCCATAGGACCCCCATAGATCCCCCCATAGGACCCCCACAGACCACCCCAGAGAACCCCCAAAGACCCCCCCCATAGGACCCCCATAGGAGCTCCATTGACCCCCATAGGCCCCCCTCATAGGACCCCCGCAAGACCCCCATTGACTCCCATAAGACCCCCATAAACCCCCACACAGACCCCCATAGGACCGCCCCCATAGGACCCCCCATACCTTTGGGCCCTCTCGTGCTGGTGGGGGGGAAGCCACTCGGGAGACCCCAAAAGCTGCTGCTCCAGCTCCGAAACAAGGGAGGGGGCAAAAGGGGGGATCCCCAGGGGGAGCTTGGGGGGGGAAGAGGTCAGTTTGGGGGGGCTCAGGGGACTCATAACCCCCCCCATGCACTTGGGGGTCACAAAAGGGGGTTTATTGGGGTCAATGGGGGGGGGTGGGGTGCACAAAGGGGGGTCAATGTGGGTTAATGGGGGGCTTTGGGATCCAAGGGGGGTCAATTGGTGTACAAAGGGGATCAATGGGTGTCAATGGGGATCAATAGGTGTCAATAGGGTTCAGCAGTGGTCAATGGGGCTCATTGGGTGTCAGTGGGGATCAATGGGTGTCAATAGGGTTCAGTGGGGGTCAATGGGGGTCAATGGGTTCAATGAAGATCAATAGGCGTCAATGGGGATCAATGGGGTCAATAGGAGTCAATGGGGCTCAATGGGGTCAAAGGGTGTCAATGGTGATCAATGGGGTCAAGGAGGTCAGTGGGTGTCAGTGGGGCTCAGGGGGGCTCAATGGGATCAATGGGTGTCAATGGGGTTCAGTGGGCTCAACGAGGTCAGCGGTGCTCAATGGGTTCAATGGGATCAATGGGGCTCAATGGGGGGTCAATGGGGCTCAGTGGGGCTCAATGGGATCAATGAGTGTCAATGGGGCTCAATGGGATCAATGGGCTCAACGAGGTCAGTGGTGCTCAATGGGGTTCAATGGGATCAATGGGGCTCAATGGGGGGTCAATGGGGCTCAATGGGGGGCTCAATGGGATCAATGGGTGTCAATGGGGCTCAATGGGATCAATGAGGCTCAACGGGATCAATGGGCTCAACGAGGTCAATGGCGCTCAATGGGGTTCAATGGGATCAATGGGGCTCAATGGGGGGTCAATGGGGCTCAATGGGGGGCTCAATGGGAGTCAATGAGGCTCAACGGGATCAATGGGCTCAACGAGGTCAATGGTGCTCAATGGGGTTCAATGGGATCAATGGGGCTCAATGGGGGGTCAATGGGGCTCAATGGGGGGCTCAATGGGATCAATGGGTGTCAATGAGGCTCAACGAGAACAATGGGCTCAACGAGGTCAGTGGTGCTCAATGGGGTTCAATGGGATCAAAGGGGCTCAATGGGAGGTCAATGGGGCTCAATGGGATCAATGGGTGTCAATGGGGCTCAATGGGATCAATGAGGCTCAACGGGATCAATGGGCTCAACGAGGTCAATGGTGCTCAGTGGGGTTCAATGGGATCAATGGGGCTCAATGGGAGGTCAATGGGGCTCAATGGGGGGCTCAATGGGATCAATGGGTGTCAATGGGGCTCAATGGGATCAATGAGGCTCAACGGGATCAATGGGCTCAACGAGGTCAATGGTGCTCAATGGGGTTCAATGGGATCAATGGGGCTCAATGGGGGGTCAATGGGGCTCAATGGGGGGCTCAATGGGGGGCTCAATGGGATCAATGGGTGTCAATGAGGCTCAACGGGATCAATGGGCTCAACGAGGTCAATGGTGCTCAATGGGGTTCAATGGGATCAATGGGGCTCAATGGGGGGTCAATGGGGCTCAATGGGGGGTCAATGGGGCTCAATGGGGGTCTCACTGTGGTTCGGTGGGGGGGGGCCCGTGCCCCCCCCGGGGGTCCCACCACCAGCTCGAAGGCCCCAGCACAGCCCAGCTCCAGCAGCGCCAATGGCAGCTCCCGTGGGGAGGGGGGGGGCAGCGCTATGGGGAGGGGCAGTGGGGGTCAGGAGGCTCCAAAGCACCCAGAGACACCCCATAGACCCCCGTAAGCCCTTATAACCACCCCATAGAACCCATAACCACCCTATAGATGCCAATTACCACCCCATAGACACCCATAACCACCCATAACCACCCCATAGAACCCCATAACCACCCCATAGAACCCCATACCACCCCATAGACCCCCATAACCACCCCATAGAACTCCATAACCACCCCATAGACCCCCATAACCACCCATAACCACCCCACAGACCCCCATAACCCCCCAGACCCCCATAACCACCCCACAGACCCCCATAACCACCCCATAGAACACCATAACCAACCCATAGACCCCCATAACCACCCCATAGAACCCCATAACCCCCCCATAGACCCCCATAACCACCCACAACCACCCCATAGACCCCCATACCCACCCCATAACCCCCCATAGACCCCATAACCCCCCCATAGACCCCATAACCACCCCATAGACCCCCATAACGACCCCATAGAACCCCATAGACCCCCATAACCCCCCCATAGAACCCCATAACCACCCCATAGAACCCCATAACCACCCCATAACCCCCCTATAGACCCCCATAACCACCCCATAACCCCCCCATAGACCCCATAACCACCCCCTAGAACCCCATAATCACCCCATAGACCCCCATAACCACCCCATAGAACCCCATAACCACCCCATAGAACCCCATAACCACCCCATAACCCCCCCATAGACCCCCATAACCACCCCCTAGAACCCCATAATCACCCCATAGACCCCCATAACCACCCCATAGAACCCCATAACCCCCCCATAGACCCCCATAACCACCCCCTAGAACCCCATAATCACCCCATAGACCCCCATAACCACCCCCTAGAACCCCATAACCCCCCATAGACCCCCAGAACCCCCCCATTGCCCCACCGATGCGCTCCATCTCCCTTCCGCCGCTTGGCAACGGGACCCCGTGCCCCGGAACCACTCCGTTCAGCCCGCAGAGCCGGGCGGAAGGGCCGGGAGGCCGGACCGAAAGCGCCCGCCCCA